ATTTTCCCAGTTGTAGAGGATGGATTGCTTTTTCTCACAGGAAGTTTGTGAACTAAAATATTCCTTGACAGAACTTGGAGAAAGTGCTCTGTCCCCCTAGATGCCTATCTGTATATTTATACTGTTCTCAACACAATGGTAATTGATGAGTAGCTAAGTGTAAAGCATTTGTATAAGAAGTTAATTTACCTTAATATTACTCTTTTGCTCTTTGTGCACTGGCCTGAGAATTATAAATAGTTTTAAGTATACAAAGAAGGAATGCCAGGCCAGGCTCACTGGACTGATTGAATAGGATTTCTGTCCCAGATATCACTGGAAATGGAGTATGTCCTGTTTGCTAACGTTTGACCAAAGATTCTGGAATAGATTTAATTCTGTTGATCCTGGATCAGTCTTGTCAGACATCTTCAGACCCACAGATAAGACAACAATGGAAGACAATCATTCTTGACTGCGGGATTGCTGAAGAAGAATTCTACCCTGAACTACCTCTAGCTGAGTAAGTGGTTGAAGTAGAAGGACTGAATACACAATTGTATTTAAGCCAAAATTACGTGCATTTTTGCAAATTAAAATGGGTGCAGAAGTTCCTTGTTTTTTTGTATTTGTTCTAAAATCAGATGTTTTCCGGGAAAGAAGGATCTCTTGAGCACTAAATAGTTGATGTTCACATCCTTTAGAAACAAATTAGAAAAAACATGGATTTCTGAGAGGGTGTAAGGGGCAACAAGAACCTCCTTCTCCCTTTGGAGAAGACAGTCATTATCTGGCTGCGCTCATAACCACAATGGTAGAAAACAGCTAGTTGTATCACTGGTAGTGTTCCCTGGTCCAGAAGGGTTGGGGCATACCTAGACTTAAGGAGTTTGGCCATGGCCAACACACCTCGTGCAATTTAATAGGGAAGTACAAGCTATGTCTTCTTTCACCGTGCTTCACCAAGCAACAGACCTCTTATTAAATGTGTAGAGGCCCAGGTCAAAGACTAAGACATTAGCCCCTCCCTCCTTCCCCTACCCTACTTGCATTAACTTAATGAAGCGTAGTCTTGGGTAATTGCCCAGGTTGCTCGCTTCTACAACCTGCTGTGACCAGCCTCTGTGAAAGCCATTATGTCTTATTCAAGCACTCAACCACTAGAGGTACTTTCTGTGCCCTAATACTTCACAGGCTTGCAGAGCCATAATTTGGCACTAAGATGAAGAAAACCCCATTGTGCTGTAGGGTACAATACTAAGAAGAACAGAGGGTGAGAAAGCACTAAAGGATAAAGTAAACTTCTTCAGTATACTGGAAATGATTCTTGACCCCCTACGGAAATGATAAAAGGCAGATGATTGTTCAGTGCAGACTGTGTGGTAAAGGTCAAATATTTTTGACCTATTAGTTATGTTTCTTCTCATATAGGTGACACATGCAGTATAGAAATCACAAAGTGCAGTTCTTCAGTTAGTGGTGGCATATGAGCTATACATAACTGTAAGGCTATTCTATGTATGGCAGGCAGCATCCTGGAGCATACACGTGAACAGGGACAGTGTGCCTGCTGCTAGATCCTCTTACTACTCTCTGTTTGGTTAACCAATTCCCTGGGCCATTGCACTGAGTGAAGCCATCAGCCCATCCCTTTATTCCTCCTCTGAGGCAGAGAAAGGAGGGAAAATTATCTATGGTCCCTATTTGTAGGGACCAGAGTTCTGACTGGACTGCATTGGCTTGACAGCAAGGCTGAGGGTGGGTTTGCCTTCTAGTCCACCCCTCCTCCCCAAATCCATACCCTGACTGATTTCTGACTGAACAGATTAGATTGGAAAAGAAGGCAGCTCTTTAGCAATTTAATTCTCAAACCACTAGATGCTGCTTCCTCTCTTAAAGAAGTCCAAACAGTGCTGCCATTTCACCTTAGTTGTGAGGATCTTGTGTACAGCGAGTTCTAGTTATCTCCTGTCTGTTAAAATGCATTTTTTTTTATTCTTTTCGGCTTTCCAGAAAATAATTTGGCACTTTGTTTCCATGCAATAGAAGCTTTAAAGACATATTGTAATGGAAGCCAAGATCCAATACCTTTAGTATGGGCTTAGAGCTTCTGTAATAGTCCTGCTTGCAGAGATCTGGAACAGGGGTACTCCCCTTTTCATGATTCCTGTTGATTTGGCATCATTCTGCTTCCCCGCCCTTCTCTATGCAGCTAATTTATCTGGTGCAGAGGACACTGTACAGACAGTTAACTGCACTGCTCTGTGCAGTACATCAGGGGAACACGTCCCTTGCTTCTCCCAAGCTAGGGTTATTTTTAAAACTTGTTATGGGAATTATTTGAATGCAGGCAACACTGAGGCCTTTTAAAGAGTTGCTTACAGAGCAGATTCCTTGTTCCCTTGTCTGATCATTTATGTCTCATGGTTGATTTGCTTGCCCCCCGTTTCCATTTTACTGTACAAATCTCACAGCAAAGAGGCAAGAAACACATGGAGGTTGAATTTGGAGAAACAAAAATATCTTAAAGTAGAGGTAGGCCTCAGCCATAATTCTCACTACAAACACTCTGAAGTGTTAATTTGTTTATTACTTGCCTTGGAACTTAGAGACCCAAAATGAGGCTGAGGCAGAATTGTGCTAGGTACTGGTCACACCTTTCTTGCTTTTCTTGAGACACACTGCCCTCAGCAACTAGTACATGAGACAGACAAATGGCAGGAAAGAAAACAAAAAAGCAAAATGATTTGTCCAGAATGACATAGGAGGCCAGTGGCTAGCTCCAGAGTAAGGTCCTAGGTTAGGCTGCCACCCCATGAACTTTTTGTCATGCTCACTGGGATTAGAAACAATCTTAAATTCCTCCCGCTGAGCTAAGCTTCCAAAGATATCCAAAGAAACTTAAACTTTGGTAAAATGCAGATCAGTATTGAATTTATTGAATTCAGATCTGAACTGAATTTTATACAAGAAACTAGGGCAGCATATGTGTTTGTGTTGTAGCTAGATAGAAAAATATTGCTCTCCAGAAGTGGCAAGTTTTGCAAACATCATTGCTGTCAAAAACAGAGGTGCAGGTTGTTGGTCAGGATGGGGATCTGAAGACTGAAAATATCTTACTTAGTCTGATACCTTTCTGTGTCTTGATATGACAACTGATTACATTATTTGTCATTTAATACAGGGCTCACCTGCTGTCTTCTTTGGTTCACAACTAGTGCATTTGTGGGGGGAAGGAATCCATGATGGTTTTGGAGAGAGGGACCAAAGTATTTTCTTTAAGGTCCTCTTATGTTCTAACTTTGTGGGCCATTGGCTGTAACAAATAACCATCCTCAATTATTGTGGAGGCAGGAAGGGATGCACTTTGTACATTTCAGTTTCTTTTAAGATAGTTATGGGTTTTTTCCATCCGTGGTAACCTCTTTTCCCAGTAGGATTTTTCTTTCTCTATTAGTTATGTGCTGTTGAGACCCAGATTCCAGGCTGCCTGGGGGCTCTGACTCATCCTTAGAAGGTTTTGCTGCTTCTTCTAGTGCTGTTGCAGCTTGCAATGGGCAATAATGGATACTCCTCTCTGAACTCTTTCATTCCCCTTCCCACAGTTTCTCTTCCATGACTGAAAGGAAAACAAAATTCTCTTTCTTTAAAAATAATTACTGGTTTGCAAATTAAATTTGGCACTGTTATATAATGTTTGCAGGCTGATTTACTGCACACAGAAGTTTAACAACGTTTACTTCTCTGCAAATCCAGTAACATTTAAAGAGTTCCCTGAAAAAAGCTGCAGGGCTTGATGCAGCAGTATGGTGAGTCCCTGCTGTGCCGAGTACCTTGCAATTAGTGCAACTTGACTGACACTCAGTGGGCCTGTCTACACATGCACTTTAATGCACATTAGCCCATTTTAATGTGCATTAAAGTGTCACAAAAACTGTGTGCTTTCGCTAATATGCATTAAAATAGGCCAAGTGCCTTGTTCTGCTACTTCACAATGGAGGTACTAAAATTTAATGTGCATTGGCAAAAACACATTAATGAATGTGTAGATGTGCCCAGCATCATGCTGGATTCAGACCAACAGGCATCAATTACCAACCTGCATTCAGAAGGGACCAAAGTGGAAATATATTTAAATTGGGGACAGAATAACAGAA